TTCTCGATGTCATCATAAGTATATTTTACTCTTTTGCAATTAAAATGTTATTAAAGAAATATTTTTTACAGTTTTTAATACTTTTTTTATTGAAAGAAACACTAAAGCAGTTATAATATTAATTTACGTGTATATCAAATTAAATTTTTTTTTCATAATTAAAGTTACATATTAAGATTAAGAGATATTTTAATGTGAAATTTTATCTACTCTAAATTGTCATACTTAAACGTGCAGACATACACGCATGGGAGCCAAGTTCCAGGCAATTTTAACTTTAGACTCTTGGATTTATTTATGAATAGAGAATATTTGACCCTGAACAAATGAGATTCATACAAATTGAGTTCCATTCTTCTTACTCAATTAACTTTTAATTAATTAAGTTCGTATTAATACGAATAGTGTAATTCGTTTTTTTAATAATAAATCATTCACGTTATCGTTTCATTCGTTGAAGATTGAACCAGGCCAATATCAACAAGTGCTTGACAATAAAAACAGGTGCAAGGGTCAGTACGCATGCGACGTGCCACACCACATGGAAACTTTTCTATTATTTTTCATGTCTTTCAATAACAATTTAACATTTTTTATAATATTTTTTTGTATCACTTAAATTGACAAAAAACTTTTAGTTTTTTGAACAACGTCACTTTGGACTACAACAAAAATTTTGCACAAAAGTAAATTATCTAAAGCTACCCTGAATATAAAGTTTTAAGTCTGAAAACAGTAGAAAAAAAAAAAAAAAATTTGTAATTCCCATACTATGATACGGTCAAATTTGTTTTACTTCGCATAATACCAACGCACACACACTTGATGAAAAACTTCACTTACCCTGAAGCTCTACAAGTACTTCTTGACCACTAAAACTCAAGACTCATCAAACGGTCCCCGTGAACCAGCAGGGATGTCGTGATTAGTCAACAGTAACACGAAAAAAAAAAAAAAAAAAAAACAACAACAGTTAAAAAATAAATAAACACCGAAGCACACACACTCCGCCGTTCAAGCACGTTTGACTGCAGTGAAGCAGCAGTACAGAATCTTCCAAAAGCCGGCTTTTTCCGGCAAAGTAAGCACGAATTACAAAAAAGACGTGCACGCGCGAGCCAAGAGAAAAAAAAGAAGGGACACGATAGTCCGCGAGAGTCAGCTGTGCCAAGACTGCAGCGAGCACTGGATCAGCCGGGGACCCGGTCCAGAGGCTCTATTTTCCTCTGCCCACCCGCTCTCTGTCTAGCTTCCAAGACCGGCGTCCCGACGCCGCGCGCGAGCGCCGATTCGTATTTTTAGCGGTCTTGGCGGCACCGCGCACTCGAGCCTCGACCAGCGCAGCGTCCGCACGCCCCGACCCACCCTCTCTCTCTCCCCCCTTCGCAACAATTTTCTGTTTTCTAATACCTCCACCCCCCCTTTTTTCGGGGGGAGGGGGTCCGATTTGTCTTTTTTTAACCTGCGTCTAAATGTTTTTTGCTGCCCCGCTCCGCGTTTCCATCTGTCTTTGTTTTTCCTCCCCCCGTTTTCACATCGAGCTCTGCTTTTCACGAAGATTTATACCAGAGGACGGCGACCGGCACTTTGATCTTGGCCTTTCGCGGTCCCCGCTTTTCGGAAGCGCTCGGTTTTTTCGTTTTTTTTTTTTTCTCTCTGCCTCGCGGTGTTTGTAAACGCTGGTTATGGCTTTTACTTTGATTGGATTTTGATTTACCCACAGGGCGCGTCGAGATAATCATTTTTTGTTCGTTAATTGTTTCAACATGGCTATTGCAACTTCGACAAAATCAATTTTTTCGTTGGTGTTGGACGAATTTTTGATAATGAAAGTATGTTTTTTTTTTAAATATTAAAAATAATTATTTCATGGTTCATCTCGCAAACTATTTTTAATTTCAGAATGTGAACGTAACATGGTTTTGTGGAATCCTTAAACAATTCTTGCATTATTTTTTTTAATGATGTGTTGTAACAAATCGCTACCCTTTATTATCAACTGAAGTAAAATAAGTGAGCACTGATGACAGCGGTATACCAGCATAGAACAAAAAAAATTAAGATAAACCACATCTAAGGGTGAATAATGCCCAATAATATAAAGTAAAGCCCTAGGTTTTACGCAAACTTTTTGATACCCGAGGAGGAGTTAAGGGTAGAAAACGTGCAATCTAAATATATTGCCCTTCATCTCCCTAGGTGTGTAGTATATCATTTTATAATGAATACACATCAATTGATCTGTAAAATAAATCTCAGTTATTTTCTAGTCAAATTTATTGCAAATTATTGATTTCAAACACGAATAGAAGTAGTTTGATGGTATAACTTTTTAAAATAGATGTTTGAAGTTAACTTTGCCCTCAGTTATACGCCTACATTGGTCACTCAATTGAAATACATAAAAAAAGACATCATTTTTGTCCATAAGTATTAAATTTTCTGTACAAAGTAAAATTTGAATAATTGTAAACAAACAATTAATTGTTAGTAGTAACTTTCAAAGTACTCAATACTGCTAGCAACGGGAACGTGGCTGAAAATTATGTCACTTCGGATCATCGATAATTTTGGCCTCGATTTTGGCCCAGCGAAATTCGCGAAACAGATCTAGAGTGCCTATCTCGACCTTAATCAAGAGCCAAGTCAAGCAGTCACTTCTCGAATAAGATAGGAGTCAGCAATGTATTTTTATACCTTAGAAATATTATTGTAAGGTACACACAAGACAAATCTTTGTTATGTATGTATAAATTTTACAACATCAGCTTGAGCCATCGATAAAATTTTTGAATTTATTATAAAAGCTTTTACGAGTATTTACAGTCGCGTGTCGTAAAGGAGCGTGCAGAATAAGAAAGTTGAGCTTTTAAAATATAACTTTCCTTCTACTGTCGTATATACACATAGTGTTATCGTTAAAATCTCATTTTTTCTCGATGTCATCATATTCCTGTTTTTGAATCTGTTTTGCAATTTCAATTTTATTTCTCTCCTGCATACGGTGGGTTGATATTAANCATTTATCGTGATTGCTTAATTATTTTGCTTACGTGTGCGTAAGCCATGCAGGGCTTGACCAGGAGATTATATTGGGAAGCAAATTTAAAAGATATTAAAAAAGATGCACGTGTTACTTTATTATTAATATCTTTTTTTTACTATGCCTATTGTACAATCTATCATAGACAGATGTAGGGGGTACATTCAGGTACATTGGTACATATATGTACACTTATACCTAAGGACACTTCATTTACAGGACCAAATTTGCTCACTTTTTACGTGGTATACTTATAAGGAATTTTTTAATAAAAATTCACAGCAGTTTTAGAAAACAGTTTTATTTTCGAGCATAAACATGCTTCAAATTCAGTCAACAGGATGTGTCAATTATCTCTTAATAGTATTAATACTACAAACTTTTTCAGTTCAATGACTTGAGATTCGTAATGATTCTTTCTTACTCTTGAGTATGTAAGAATTATTTTTTTAAGTAACTTAAATCTGTCGACTTGGATCGATCGACAGCAAAATTTTAAAAAGTACATTGAAATAGATTCTTCAATAATATAATTTTTTTAAGTTTTCCGAGGATACTTTTCTTTCTTACAAAAAGTTCTGAAACATCTTTCAACAATTTAACAAATCTCAATAACAATATAATTTGCTTCGATTTTTTTCTCTCTGTTAAAGCAGGATAAGCATTGTCCAAGGTCAAAGTCACGATATAATCAAATAATTTTTTTATTTTCCCATTGATCATAACAATCTTTTACTGAAAATCAAATACGGCATCGTAGTTACTTTCTAAAATTTTACTACACAAGACGTCATTTTCAATCTGATTTTCAACTTCTTGATTCATGCAAAAGTGCTCAATAATTTTTTTACTTGAAGAATTTTATTCGGCTGATTCTCTTACATCCGCATGAATCAACAGTTTTTTTGCCAATAGGAACTAATTGATGGCCAGTAGAATTATTATTCAATACCCCTTTACATCACACAGCACTAAAAAAGTGTTCACGATGACATGATTAAAACCACTGTCAGTTCACAGAACTTACTTTGATAACGTCAAACACTTCATCAGTAACGAAATTCTTCCTTCGCGATCTCACTTTCTTCTGCAAACGGTACAACCTGTTACTCAAAATTCGATTCCTTCTTCGTATGACTAATATCTCTTTTTGAGCCAAAAACAATAACCATTTCATTTGTTTTTCAGTGGCTGTAGTAGCTTCAATAGAATCAATATTCACATTTACTAATGACTTCACTTTGTTGCTAACATCTACAGCTCTCACGCTTGAACAAAAAACCGAGTTCAATTCGGTTACAGTATATAGGCATGATAAATATTTTTCTTTTAGATAAAAATCATACCTTTTTGAGCACTTTTTCTTGCTACAAGCATCTTTGACAGAATATTCAGTAAAATCTGTGCTTTCGTGTTGCTTGTCAGGGAGAATGTAATCCGCTGCGTTGTCAACTAGACAGTGATCCACAGCATCTTCATCAGCCTGACACTCATCGGAGGATACTTGATCGATAACCACCTCATCATCTGGGCAGGGTTTGATAAATACTTGCTCTGTTACATCATTCTGAGAGGTATAATTAGGCATCATTTGATCCGAAGCAATTTCAGCAACACGACGGTCATCGATGGATACTTGATCTGTAACAACCTCGTCATCTGGACAGGCTTTGATGAACACTTGATTTTTTGTATCAACATCATTCTGATAATCATCACCAGCTACAGAGTTGCTATCGGTATTTTCCTCGGCTGTTCTTAAACTACATGAAATTTATAAAAGTTAACAGAATTTTAGTGAATACGTACTCGTAATAATAAATACAATAAAAAAATTAATAAATAAATATTACCGATCAACAGCAAAAATCGTTGGAACGAAGCCTTTTTTTATTCTCAGCCTTGTCCCAGTATGACTGAAGCAGTTTGATTCAAAATGTTGAGAGCATACGTACAAGTACGATTTGTCCTTTGTAGGAAAGAAACGATTCAACTCGTACAGCCACTTGGCTCTCTCTTCTTGGTTTTTCGGTAACCTTGAACAACGAATATTTTCCAAATTTTAAAACATCCTTCTCATCAACTCACAATGCATAGTACTATATAATCAAACTTGGATAACTTACTGATGAAACGATAAACTCTTGGCTCCAGGATCGTCACTTTGAACTTTACATACAGGCACACAACATTTTACAGGCATATTAGATAATTTTCAACACTAATTCTCACACTTATGAATTAAATGTACAAAGTATGAAGGTATTAAAAGACAAATTTTAAGTAGGTATATTTGCTCGCCTCATGTTTAAGTGATACTGTTTCTGGAATTCACTTTACAACAGTACTTTACACAGCACTGGCACGAAACTATACATTCTCTGAGAGAAAAAGAGAGAAACTATATAATCATAGTAAGTATGTATGGTAGGTATCGTAGATCATATGAGGAAGTTTGACTTGCAAGCTCAAAGTAGATGGTGCCAGGATAAACTAGCTCTGTCATGGCGATTCGCGGGAGAATTCAAAATATGTTATTTTTAAAACTAATTTTTTTTTCAAGAAGGACTGTCAAAAAATATGTTATATCGCATTAAATGAAAACAACTAATTTATTAAACAATATAAAATATTTACCGCTTATATTTTATGCAGAATAATTACTTAAATAAAACATCCATAAAGCTCATCAATTTGTACATATCAACGGAGATATCCTCCTTATCAACGGAGAAATCTCTATCGATGCGAAGATGAGCTTTATGAATGTTTTATTTAAGTAATTATTCTACGTAAAATATAAGCGGTAAATATTTTATATTGTTTAATAAATTAGTTGTTTTCATTAAATGCGATATAAAATATTTTTTGACAGTCGTTCTTGAAAAAAAAATTTGTTTTAAAAATAATGTATTTTGAATTTTCCCGGGAGTCACCATGACAGAGCTAGTTTATCCTGGCACCATCTACTTTGAACTTGCAAGGCAAACTTCCTCATATCGTACAACCTCTCGTTTGTATTATGTCTCTCTTTCGCAGCTTGAAGCACTTACAAGCACGAGGGAGTACAATAAATTGAAATTTTTTATTTTTATTTTAATTTTTGGTAAGAGACTCACAATTGTATAGGTACATACAGGATGGCCTGATTTATGAACTGAAAAATTCAAATTTACATTATCTTATCTTACTAATATATAGAGCAAAGTCGCTAAAACCGTTGTAATCGCTAACAGCGAAAACTACTGAACTGATTTTGCTGAAATTTTGCACACTCATTCATGACACTTCCTAGATGGTTTTAGTATGGTTTTTATCTTGAAAAATTTAATAACAATAGCAATAAATAAGCTCAAAGTTTTGCAAAAATACGCCAGCTTTTCACTTTAGTCCAGTAGGATCCGCTAGGTGGCGTCGACATAAAATCGAAGCTACCTACAACAAAATTAAATAAGTGTGTTTATGATGGGCCGGAGTCCGGAGTATCGCGGAAATTTCTGCAATCGTCTACCGACTGCTCATCGAGCTTCATCGAGAAAGTACATGATAGTCGTGCAGATTGGGTATGCCAGTACCCGATGACGCTCTTTTCCAATTCCAATGGGCAAATGATCTAGGTCTACTTTCACCCTAAACCTCCAAAATTAACGAGTGCCACAAAAAAAAATAATTTCATTGATGACGTCTCTGGGGGAATACCGGGAGACGTATTCAGCCAGAGCACATCCTGCTTCAATACTTCACAGTTATGTGGCCGTTCCATAATCTGGCCTGATGCTGTCAGAGAATTTTTTTACTGCAACTGTAAGCCAGGGAAGACAGCCCTGAAGAGTACGGGCAGCCACAACTGCCAACTTCTTAGTGGTCGTTCCTACGGCATACCTACAGAGAAGGTATTCTCCAGGCCCACTTTCCCGACTAACGATGAGCGGTTGGTAATCCGGGAAATGACCTGAAGATGAGATATATTTTGGTCAGCGGTGTATCTCCCTCCTATACGGTCTCCGTACACAGACTTCGAGGGTAAGGAGCCAAGCTACCAACAGCTGGCTCTCCATCATCAAGAATAATATTAAGGAATAACTAGAAATTTCACCACTGGCCTTTTTCAGGGCCAATATAGGGCCTAAGTATTTACGTTCATTACTCAACCTTCAATCTCATCGGTTCTTGTAAGGGCCATCTTAGTTTTAACTACTTTGCCAACAAATACATTTTTACTACCATTTCCGGAAATGTTATTCGTCGTCGAGCAGAGTTGTTCATCGCAAGGCTGGAAACCCTGGTGACCGACGACCCCATATTACCCTCTCGACTCTAAGCATTCAACCAGGAATCACTGATCTTCTCCAAGGTCTGCGTTGGGCAAACCTAACAGATAAAAGGAAAAAAAAACTTGAGCCAACGGGACAGCCTCCACTGGACAAGTATCACGAACCAATCTCTACTAATCTCTCCACCTTAGATCATCAAAACAACTGAGTCTACAAAAAAAAGGTGCTTTAGACACCAACGTCTTCGATGTTATACCAGGAGACGTTGGGAAAAAGCACCACAACTAGCCCCAAAGCTTCGGACTTTGTAATTTTTCTCCCTATCAGTCTGGGGCTTCAACAGCAAGCCAGAAAAGATCACCCTGAGATATAGAGGCAATCACGTTTGCTGGAAACTTCAGTCAAGGAAGAGTTTACTTAAAAAGCTCTCGGTCCTTTTCAGGGTTATCGGACGTCGAACTACCTTGTCAAAAAATATTTTACACCCTAATAAAGTTGAAAAAAATAGGCTTTAGGGCTCACAAAAGTTTTAACTATGCTAAAAGTCGCAAGAAGTCGAATTGGAAGGAAAACTTTACATGCATCTAATGAATATAATTTTAGGCGTCAAGAAACTGACGCAAAAAATTTATCGAGATTGAAACAGCATCGTCAAAATCGACAAATAAAGAATCCATTACGTGAGAGATCAGCTTTCCATTTTACCCTAACAGTAATCTCTTAAATCTTTAAAGATCTAAGTTCAGGTTTTTAAATGAGAATAAAATATATTTGTATTTTTGGGGCAATAAAAAATGTAGAGATTAAGCTCCAGGACTTTGTTGCTCTGGTAATAAAGTTGGAAAATAAGAGAAAAAAAAATTTTTTTTAATATTTATTTTTGGGAATTTAAAATCTTAACATCTTTAAAAAATAGCCCTTTTTGTAAATTACACGGGAGAAACTGTTCTGAGATGTGTGAGGAATATATGTAAAATTTCTAACTGAAAACGTTTCACATTACACGTCAACACACTACGGTGTTTTATTTAGTAAGTCTCGGGCGAAGCCGAGACGGGGGGCCGCTAGTTTTTCATAACATGAAAACCCAAGTAATAATTAAAAAACTATCAAGAAAATTAATGATAATAACTATGGTAACAGAAAAAAGCACTGAACAAATCTAAAATCTGAACGAATCGATTAAATATATGACTTAGGTTGTTGTTTGTTAAAATATTATTAGTGTTCCAAATGAATCGAACATATATATTTTTGGTCTTCCGAGAAGTTCTTTGTCTTGTAGGTATAGTAGTACAAGAGAAATGTATTCGAACGTAAATGATAATTATTGTCAAGTTGTAGAAAATTTTTTTTATTTTGGTTGCTAAAGACGTTCTGTTCGCGACAAACTACGATCACCAAGAGTCACACTTTTTCTTAACAATAAATTTCTGCTTTTATAATTTTTATAATTTTTTGAAGATGTTTCTCTGCTTGAAGCAGCAATTAGCTAACTTTAATATTCGACAACTTTACTCTGAAATAAAACCCAACGACACACTTGGATGTTCAAATTAGTACAACTCAAAAATGGAAGAATTTAAAAAATACACATCTTTTTTAGTTAATTATTCAGGTGGTTGAATATAATGTAATGCAAGTTAATTCAGTTATACTCAGCAAAATTGATGGTATGATCCATGCCACCATAAACTATTCTCGTTTTGTGACTGTCAAGCGCAATCACTGCTTTATTCGCATTAAAACTTGCTACGATCTAAAATAAAAGCAATTTTGTCATGGCGAATAAAATACAGCTGTATATATGTATATAGCATTAGATTTGTACGACTGGCTCACAGTTTTTTCCTTCAAGTTGACGATCTCGACAGCACCGGTACCGGAACCTCCAATAATGGCATGATTGTCGTAAGGATCTCCGTCGAAAAATTGCGCGCAGTAAAGAAATTCACCAGCAGCCGTTGGCTGACGGTTTGTGGGAGTGATTGTCTCGATGAGCTTGGCACTTGTCATGTCCCAAAGTTGAAGACTGTCTTTATCGACCCAAGAGCCCGATAGTATTTTTGTGTCCTGAAAAAATATTTTAAACGATAGTATTTGACATTTAAATGAATATTAATGTTTTACAGACTAAGAGTGTGTGAAAAAAGAGTATCATTACTTCGCAGGAACTAGTTATCTAAACTACAAGTCAAATAGAAAAACTTTTTAAATTAATAAATTTAAAAAAAAAATCCCTAATAATAACTTCGTATCAGATACTTCTAAACTAATAAAATACTAATGAAAAAAAACTTATTTTTCAGTTGGGAGAACTTGATTATCCAAGTCTTATTTATAATTAAGAAATATTCATCAAAAAGATAAAATTATTTATACCTTTAGGTCAATAGCATCGCCACACACGTGAGGTCCGTTTATTGACTTGATGCTGCCATCGGAAACTCGGATGTCCCAAATCTACAAGTGTTAAACACCTTTGAGACGTAGAATACCGTTTTTATCAGCAGTACTTAAAGAGATTCGGTAGAGAGTGCTGAGGTTTAATAATAGATGTCAGTATCGAACTGCACGGGACGGTTGATTTTGACAGTAGAGCAAGTAAATAGCTTACGATAAAAAAAAATTTTTTTTTGGAGCCTTGACTTGTCATTTTGAGTAATTTAATCCTAACATTATTCTTTAATCGACATTTCAAGTCTTGGTTTTTAGGCACGAGTGATACTCAGGAGTGCCTTATAGTTTTTCCAGAGCCAAAAGTCCAAAAGTGTGAGTACCCTTGAAACTTAATGTTTTTGGGTAAAAAAAATGTGGTGAAAAAAAATTGCTATCGCCGACCTCGGCGACAAGGGTGTAAATATATGTATGTATGGGCATAATCAATTTTTTTGACCAACTCGTGTAGTTTTTGTTGGATTGGACTGAAATTTGACAAAGAGCTTCGTCTTTTATATCTTACGTGTTGGTTTAAAATAAGCAATATTTCTTGTTTTAGAAAAAAGTGGCAATCATTTGAAGATATACAAACGTGGGACTTGTAGATCTTCTCGAAATATAAGTTTTTTGTGTTTAACATATTTAGTTATGATATCAAAGTGGCGCTCTAAATCGCAAAAAATGCCGAAAAATTTCAAAATTATCATTTTCTCTATCCACCTTACTCCATTCACATTTTATTGTATTCTGAGGCTGTTTTATCTTCGTTCCGTGGGATGTTAAAATTTTTTTTATTAACCCTGCACCAAAATAATAACAGTAACATACTTCCACATATCATCGTACTTTACATAAAAAATGCAGTTTTTGCATAAATTGAGCCACTTGTTCTCTCTTTTTCAATGGCAAAAAAATTTCATTATTGTATGTGCATAAAATCAACAGAGTTAATGTAAATACTACTTTGATTTATATAACGTTTCATATTTTATTATACCTTCAAGGTATTATCCCATCCTCCAGTGATTACGAGGTTCGCATCGGTCTTGTGACATTTCACGGCGAAAATTCGAGAAGTGTGGTATTTTATTACATTATCAGTGACTACATCGTGTGGATCTTTTTTGAAATTTCGAATTACCTGAAAATAAAGTAACGCCGTTCGTCGAAATTAATGTCTGGAAAAGTATTTTTTAATTATTAATAATAATAATGTGCTTCATTGCACAGAGTATACAGTTGAAAAAACTTTTGATTTTGAAACACAAATGCGGATGGTGCGCATATTATTATTTACCCGAGCGGTTTCTAAGTCGTACTCGTTCAATGATGCGTTTTTGCCGACCGAAAAAATGTGCTCGCCGGAAACGCTGATGTCAATAGCATTAATTTCATTCCCGAGCTCTTGTCATGAAAATAAACATTTTTAATGACCAAGTAACGAATTTAGAAAAGCTTCTGCAAGTATACTTTAATGCTTGATTTTTGAGGAATTTATGCAACATTAAATATTACTCAGTGCCAATCTTATCTGATTGATTAAACAAAATGTAAACTGTCTTAATCGAGGCAACAATGAAATACCTTCCGAGAACCTCCAGAATTCAATTTCATTAACCCTACAGTGGAATATTGTACCGCACGAGCCTGACGCATACAAATGATCTTTGTAAATCGGATGAAATCGGCAACACGTAACCGGTGAAGACGTTTCCAAGCCACATCTAATTGTTTCTCGACGCTCGCCGGTTTCTCCGTTTCTCAACTACGGACGTTAATATTTGTATTAAATGGATATATGTACATAATATATGTTGTATGATTGTTAGTCTTTTTTGTTTTTTTACAAACGTAATGAATTATTAAAATTTACTTTTTGTATGAATAACAAATAAACAAAAAATGACACATATCAATCGTGAAAAATAAAGTATATTAAATATTAATCTGATCTCCCGAAACCACTTGCTCATTTTTTCATAGAAATAACATCAATCAAGACACTATACTCGATATTTTGAGCAGAATTATTTAATAAGTATTAATAACTATTTAAACTCAAAATATCGAGTATTATTTAAGTAGTTCTGCTCAAATTTTATTTTAAATATTGGTATATTTAAGGAACTTGTTTTTAGAACAAACATGAATGCATCCAGATCCAAATGTTGTGGCAACTAGATCACCGTCGGGAGAAAATCTCACCGAATACAGTCCATCGAGTTTTTCTGAGAAATTAATTTGTTTGATCGCATAATTTCTATCTTTCATCGATTGAGATTTCGATTTCTTCGCCTGAATCCACTCTTTACGCTCTTCAATTTCTTCCTGAGATACTTTACGTTCTACGAAGAATCCTGTCATCTGAGTACAAATAAGTAAATAAATAATATAAAAAATTTTTTTTTTTTTTTTGCAATTTCATACTTTTATATTATACATAGGTAAAAATAATAAAGAAAATATTTTCCAATTCTGGCAAAAATTATTATTGAGTGTAAAAATATTAAATATGGTTTGGTTGGATACAAATAGCATGAAAACATATAGAATTAATTTTTATTCGTTCACTTTATCAACTTACTTGTTTAAAAATCTTCGATTCGTCATTTTTTGGTGCAAGATGTTGCTTTTGAGAGTAGGTTTGTCGTGTCGACAAATTCGGAAATTCTAAATTTTTGTAGCTATTAGGATGATTATTTGGATAAAATGAACAACGTTATTTAAATGGTACTTTACCATTTGTCTCACTCATCGCGAAATTTTTCTGTTAAAAATATGTACTCTTATACTTGTGCCGCTATCAAACGCTTCTAGATGTCCCAACATCTACGAATCAAGTACATTTGCAGAGTTCCTATACGGTTGTCCGAATAAGTATTTACAAAATCATCTTTAGAACATTGACAGCATTTTTAATTTAATCCTCATAATTTTGGGCATACATAAATCGTGTGTCATAGTTACAAGTATATGTAGAAAATAAAAAAAATTTTGTGTTAATATTGTGTTGAAATTAAGCCACTAAATAGTGATTATTAATAAGAATTTACAGAAACATTGAATAATTTAAATAAAGCGACGCATATAGTCTGTATCATCAGACGATAGTTTAAATACCATTCGTTGTAATTATTCATTGAAATTACAATAGCTGACTACAATAACAGTAAAAATATTGCCAAACGAAGTAATGATACGTATTTTTTTAAGTACATATGCCTAATAAATTAAATAAATAAATAATTAAAGACTAGTATGACGTGTCACGAGTAATATAACGAGAAAAAACATAGGTCATAAATCTACTGATTAGTTCAAACAAAAAGGGGCCAACATATCATCTGTCCCATGCAAGTTGAACCAATAAATGGCTAAAAGTGTCGAGGAAACGAGCGAGAGAGAGAGAGAGAGAAAGGAAATGAGGGACGGAAAAAGCGAAGCGGAGAATTTAGTCGTGCCCGTTAGTCCAGTGTCCCCGTGGACCTGAGCTGTACATCCGTGCTCACACAATGATCCGGCATCTATTGTTATTTATTATAACCTTTTCAACGCCAAACGCGCAAACAATAGCAGCGCCGGCAGCAACAGTTTCGTCAGCTAACTCGACACTTTCGAGAAATTCGAGTGAGTAATGTTTTGAGTAAATAAATCACCGTATCTGCCTTACGCGTATCAGTGAGATAACAATCGCGCGGTGATAAGCTCCTACAGCTAAATACCATGGATGCTTCGATACGTACGATTTGATTGCTGGAAAATCATCTGTTTACATCATATTGCGTCGAGTAGGGTATCAAACTGATGAAGGTTGATGAAGGTTATAACTGTTGGGCGCAAAATTGTCGCCTTAAACATTATCGCATCGTTCATCCACTTAATGATATCGTTCACTTGACCCCAAACGTCGAATGTGTACCATCGCGATGTACATACAGGGTGTTGATTTTTAAGAGTCCAAATTATCTGCAAAGATACGTATTTATAAATTTTTCAACGAAATTTTTGCAAGTCACAATCATTAAGCTTTTAACAAGAATATGATCTCTATGAGTCAACGTTAAATCTCAAGAAGATCATACGGTCGATGTCTTTGACGTGTGTGAACACTTCATCTGTACAAGAGTACAGAATTATGATAGTGAGGGAGTTTTGGCGTAAATTCTTTATCTTTGAGGCGTAATTCTTTCACATATTCTAATCATACATTAATTGTATGTTCGGTAAAATTACGTGTAAAATACCACAGCTTAAATGACAATTTAAAGGCTAAATGAAAATATCAAAATTCAACGTTTGGTTTTCGTTAAACATTGTGTTTTAAGAAGTAGCGTCATGGAACGAGACGTGGGTCGATCAGTTGCGTCAAAATCTTCTCTTGAATTACGACAAATTTTCAAGACCTGCCCAGCATTACAATACCACGACAGTGTCACTGCTTTTGAGTATCATGCAAGTTGAGCTTGTGAGTTTCAAAAATTTTGCGACTACGCGATGGTTCACGTAAAAATATTTTAATCGTATTTGTTTGTCGCGCAGGATAGCAGAAAAAGCATCCTAAGTATCAACGCGTGGGTCCACATGGTATAGAGTTTAATGATTATTAACGCATGATGTACTAAACGGGAGGAAGCGACAAACTTTTTAAGCCTAAAAAAATTGCAAAATATTTTTTAGAGTTGGGAGGACGAAAAGCTCAAGTGGACATCCGAAGATTACGGTGGAGTTGATAAAATTACCGTCAGTGCACACGAGATTTGGCAACCAGACTTGGTTTTATACAACAGGTAAATTTACCTGTACATTTATTGATAGTGTAGGAAGTAAATATAAATACACTATCGAAATAATTGTAGAATCGTATAAGATAGTGATGGAAAAAGTTTTTTTTTTCAACAAAGACATAATAATATATATCCATATAATCAAGTTGAATTAAAAGGTTGGTTTTACACGGAATTGAGTCATAATTAATTTTGATAATGATAAGCACAGAAATGCAGATAATTCACACAAAAATTGTTCCCACGTGAGTTCATTATGATTCGGATGTAATGTTAAAATGACAAATGTCTTAAAGGATTATTACACTTTACCGAGAAGTAATAATGCATCTTGATAGAACGAGTTTGCGATATTTCGGGGATCTACGGAACAATACCGAGAAATGCGCAAAATATTAGTATTAAATTACAATAAAAAATTATTGTTATGTACTTTTAATGCACAATACATTTATACGATGCAACTTTATGTTTGTTGTGTAAATTATAAAATTTTTTTTCATAAGTGCAATGTACGGAGTGGAAAACTATGAAAGCAGACAGTGCATCGTTAGCGAATCTGGTTTAATTAAATGGGTTGTACCTACAGTTCTCAGAAGCTTCTGTAAACTCAATTTTGAAATGTGGCCTTTCGAAACAAACATATGTTGGATAGATTTGGTCTCTTGGACTCACAGTGGAGATGAAATCGATATCGAGTTACTCTACGATGGATATTACGTCCGTACAGTATACACGTTTTTATTTGAATATTAAAAATACGTACTTCCACACCATTAAAAATTTTTGGTAGTTATTTAACAAATTTTCTAGTAAATTTTTCAATTACTTTAAAACAATACCACACCACGTTATAGTGTCAAAATATTCTCAAATCTAGCTACTGAAAAGGGTTTCAACAAACTAATAACAAAAAAGCTCTAATGCAGGTGGTATGCAACAATCAAACTCAAATATCCATGCATAAGAGTGATTAAAGAATACGTAATACATTTGAGTCGAAAAATGTACCCGAAGCACACAGTACTTTGTTTAATTAATGCATAACGTTGCCGTGAATTACTTTTGGCACAATAAATTATTTAATCCAGGCTTCTGGCTTGTCATAAATAAATGCAGTTTTTGCAAATAAATTCTGATATTTTTCCTTAAATTGGACAAAGATTATGAAATTTTAATAATGTGTACATTACCTCACAAGTTTATGAGAGCTTCGTTAATGATATTTGAAAAAAACTAGCCCACAATAACTCTTAACTTGGTCTACACGTTATTGCTTACTGGAACACACCTTACATTTATACTTATTTATAAAAAAAAAAAAAAAAAAATTACAGATGGAGGACTACATTCCAGGAGAATGGGTGGTCAAAAATATATCGGCACATCAGACAAAAGACCCTGATATCTGCTGTTCTAATACCGTCAGCTATCCTGCTGTATCCTACGAGATCAAGTTGACCAGGAGTTCATATTTATTTTACCATGTAACTTTTTTGGCGTGCCTTCGTACGTTTGAGTATAAAAGTAGTATACTTATTTGACTAAACTAATTTTTTTTAATTAAATTTTTTTTTTTTTCACGCAGTTGATAATTTTGTATTAATTTATTTGAACGTATTTAAAATTGTTAGCGGTATTTATTAAATTGACTTGATTAGAATAGTAGATTAGTTTACTCTCAAGAAACTTGTCTTTATTAATTGAATATATTTATATTTTTTAGCAATAGTATTCTTAGTCTTAGTTACATTTTGGATGAAACCACAAAGTGAGATGAAACTCATTTACATTATCTGTGCTGTACTTATTGATATATTGTTCTTGTTGTACTTTGGATACAGTATTCCAGCTAAACCTGGCAGTATACCTCTCATAGGTATTATTAACATTTTTTTAATAAAATCTCTTTAATCATACAAAAATATTTAAAAAAAAGTTAATACGATAGAACGGCACTACGTGCATTAAATATTTTTAATATGTTGATTGCGATTTCAAAGCTATAATAACTTGATCATCTCATGGTTTTTATTAAATAAAAAAAGCACGTACCCAAATAACAATACTTTTCGAGCTTTGAATTCGTGGTATTAGCATCCTCAACAAAAATTAGTACATGATGTGCCATTTCTCTGTATTAACCTTTTTTTTAGTTCTATGTTACTTGAAAGATCAGAGGAAAGTTACTTTTCTTTTATTACTGATTTTCTATATACTTTAGTCAAATTCTTCAGTGGATGCCTTTACCAAATGACGGTTTCAATCTTGATATGCGGATTTGTTATTCATATATCTACCAGTTCCTACGGTGCATCGATGCCACGGCGAGTCAGGTCATTACTACTCGGAAAAATCGGAAAATATCTAGGACTTAAAAGTGCTATCCACGAGGTATATTTTTAATAAACATAAATTAAAAATGTGTAATTAAATTTACTCCATGTAAGTGCTCAGAATGACTTTTTAAACAAATTTGTTTCCGAAACAGAGTAAAAAATTAGTATTATTTAAGAATATGCAAGACATATAAAGACATTTTTTTTTATCAACCTTTTCAGTAAATATTCTATAAAGTTCAGTAACGTTCATTATAATTTATCTCACATCATTAATACTATTTGGTAACATATTGTTTCTTCGTTTTAAATCATGACAAAACGTTCTCAATTTCATGAGGAAGCAATTCAAACTTTTTGTGATTTTTGAAAAAATTTTTGGTTTCGTCATTTTATTTATTCATTGTAACATTTCATCTCATTAATAAACTAAATACACCTGATGATATCAACAAATTAGTATATGTGGAAATTTTCTATTAATAACACCACACTAAAATAACTAGAAACAATAAATATGCTTTATGGGCCTCATAATGATGTTATCCATGCATTGGTGAAGATAAAGAAATTTGTAAAAAAACAAAAATCCAAAGTCAATCGAATGCAAGAAAAAGTTATTTCAAACAACTTTAACAAAACAAATGTACCTTCTTTGTTTTAAAATCATTAATTTTTCTGTATTAAAAAAAATTTGCTTTTTAAATATTTATTCTATAAATATAAACGTACGGAAATATCAGCGTAATAAATAT